AGGAGACAAAACTTGCAAAATTGCACGTAAACTCTGCTGACTCTGCAAATGGACAAATTTTCGAGATTAAGATTTGGCGAGTGGAGTGTTGTAACAGAGCGTAGCGGTTGACGTCATCCGAGCGGCGCACGAAGCTATTCAGATAAGGTGACTGGGTTTGTTATTCCCACATACACAAACAATAATGGTGCATTAGGCGACAAGTTTTCAGACTAACGTGGTTTTTCAACAGTATTCCCGCTCTACTGGAAAAATATTAATGTTGGTGTGGGTCAAATAGCTCTTTCGGTAGAAGACGAGTGCGCAACGATTTTTAAAAGAGCAATGGTTGGCATACTTTTACGCATACTTCCGTTCTTCTTCTATGTATAAAACGCTGTTACATACCAGTTATGGTTATCGTTCTTCACGAGCATTTTTTTTAGCGTAACACTCACAGGTAATCACTTAAGGCCGTTCTCATCTTTTTTTTTCGTCTTGGATATGTACTCTATGTAAACTTGATTTTCAGTGAGGTCCTTCGTTTTGGTGCGTGTAATTATCGTATACTTTGAAGGTAATTACATGTACTTTGAAATCCGCGTAATTGACACCTTAATTGTTAGGAGCCAAACTTCATACAATATATCATGCGCAGAATTAACTCCAATAAAATTGTAGTTGCCACTCTTAATTCCTGGCCAGCCCATATGGGCTTGTCTCTCAGCGCGTCCCTTCGAACAATGGAAACTGCTGTTAAACCAATAGTTTAAACCCTCAGTAACGTATTCCCTTTGGGTCATGAGGTCAGGCGGGTCGGGTCATCTGCCCTCAACACCTCATTTGTTCGTCCTTCGTCGAGCACATTATTGTGATGTCGAGGGACAAAATCTAGCGCCATACTCAGGAACCTTTCCATTTTCTGGGTCTCGGTCTTTTTTTTCCTGTCATTTCTGTTTGTTTTTTAGTTTTTCCAACTTTGTTTTCACCGACGTGTTTTCTCAAGATTCTGTATTTAGACAGAGTTCCATCACTGACTAAAGAGAAGACAGTGGAAGGGAAAAAAAGAAGGGCTGCAGTTATTTTATTCCACTTAAGCTCCCCGTGGGTGGAAACACGCCCAATATTTGGGGGGGTGACAAATTCGCTGGGGGATAAAAATTTTGGAATTTTTTTACGTGTAACCTTAAATGGTTTTCTGAGGGGGTGAAGATACAAAGGGGGGGGGGCTTTTCACACGCTTTTGTAAGGAATGGAAAAGAACAGACCAAAAATCACCTTTCTCTAATTTTGTTTTTTAAAAGCTCTTTTGGGGACCCCCCGTGATTTGTACCACTCGGTGCCTCAGTTCCCTATCTTTTTTCATGCATTTCGTTGCAACAAGCCCCAACAGGAAACCGGTAAAAACAGGTCGTTGGATGTTGCAAAACTCCGACGCCCTTCATACAAGTATGTACACGGGTACACTCACCCCACACGGGTGAATTAGACCATTCAGGTCATGCTTAAGTAATCATTAGCACTGAGCTTGTGGGTTCCACAATACACCTGAGTCACAGGGAAGCCATTTTGATCATATTCCTAGCATCTATCTTATTCACTCTTTATGTTAAATTGGGTGCTACCAGACTATTTGGGGTTCCGTGCCTTAGGCCTATGCACTCTTTTTTTTTAAATGTTGCATAAAACATTTAGATATAATTAATTACAAATTTCAAATTATTCATCACCGTCAATGGCATTAATACGTGATCAGCTTTTATTTCATGGCTTCCTTTCCATCCTCAGTCCCCCAAATTATATAAGCTAACCTTGCTTTCAATTCGAGAAGAACATAATATGTCCTTTTTTGTATGAAAGGACATGAGCATATTTTTACAGCTTTAGTTTTAACTCCTTCCAACAGAAATGAAATGAATATGATGATGTTCGAGGGCCGTGCTGCTCTGAATAGCATCCGTCGCCTTTCTAATAACTACATCTCCCATCCAGTGCCTACCCCAATAATCACGGTAATGGACTGGATATTGTTGGGGTCCCGGTTTCTCCCCCTACAGCGGATGTTTTTGTGTGCACTGCAGCTCATGTGTGACCCCCTCACCGGCCCGAAGTCTCCGTCGAGGAACAAAATTCGGAAACTTCCACCGTTACATAAATAACCCGCAGGGGAACGATACACATTATTGTTATGGACCCTAAAAACAGGCCAATCGGCGCAGCCTCTTCGACGTCACATTACGCAAAATGCGTGTACGAATGAAAACGTAGATTGCGTTTATCTAAGGCTACCAATTTCAGCGTAGTAGTTTAAGCTTATTGGTTGCGTTTCCGATAGATGCCAGAGCGTTATTGTTGAGTTCAACATCCACGTAGCTAAATTTTTATCACACCTGTTATGAACGAATTCGAGGAGAAAAATGATGGTGCTGTTTATCTGTGCATCACGTTCCAAGATACATTTTAATGCAATAAACTAGGCAAAGAATGCCATTTGTTATGTCAAAAAGACAAGTTGCTTTCTTGCTTTCGATACAACAGCCCTAACAAATTGGAAGGACCCGTGTCATTTATTTTATATACAGCCTTGAGTTTGTCATTTCAAGGTGTGTTTTTGTTTTGTTTTGTTTTGTTTTTGTTTTTGTTTTTTCAAATTTCCATATTCAGGTGCAAACAAGCAATTTCACCTTAGGAGGAGTAATTATTCCAGGCAGCTGATAAACACAAAAATGACAGGATTGTGGATTTCGACATACTTTACTTTTTGCTTTTGTCTAGTGTTTTATTGAGGAATATGTGTACACAGCAATCACTCCTGACCTGCATGCATCATGCAGAGTATTCCCAAGAGCTGTATTTTGGTTCATAATTTCGACACTTAACTCCTCCGTTCTGTTGCTAGGAATATCATGTATTGTTTCCCTTTGAACAATGGCACTTTATAATGAAACGAGAACAAGCATTTATTTTCTTTGAACCTTTCACAGATGTCAAACTCCTGTATGCAAGATATATCCCACCAGGAATCCCGCTATTAAACTCTGTAGTTGTTCCATTATGTGCAAAACAGGGTAAATGTTCTAGATCTCTGCCCCTAGGCCATTGATTTTGAACCCCCTTAAGGGGCCAACCGCCATCTCCTCGAGTCACTTCTTCTGTTTACTCCAAGACGAGCAGGAAATTCAACTTCGACAGAGCATCGCAGGCATCGCCACACAGATACATAATGCGAAATGCGGTTGTCATGGTTACACATCCACATTCTGCTCCGTTTTGTGTACAAGGGGGAATTGAAGTTGGAAAGGTTGAAAAACCCTGTGTGGCGAAGAGTGCCCACCATCGGTGAAGCTAGGTAGTCATTGTGGTTGCATCATGGCGCCGGGGTACTGGGCCCATTCTAGCCCGCTGTATAATTTGCCTCAAACAACCTGCTGAACGAGCTGGGAATACTCAAAAAGGAAGTGCGAGGTTTGTCCATGTGTTCCATTTTGAGTCTCCTGTACTGTGCAGAGATTACCCTCCAACCCATTATGTCTTTCATGCGTGTCCCCTCCCGAGGGTCAAAAAATAATGGCTGTTCTATTTCAGGGGCAGGACCAACATATTCGCCACAATCCTGACGCCAAACTGCGTCCCCAGGGGCGCTCATGTATACGACGACAACGTTGTTCTTGTCGTCGTCGTCGTCCGTACTGATTTCGTCGTCGTCGCATGCGAATTATAGTTGTCCCATTGAGCTGCATGGGGTCTGAGCCAATTCCTATTTTTTTGCATATCGATCGTGTGATGAAAGTGCTCTGGCGTCTGCACTTGTACAGACGTGGCGCTGGCTTTATTTGAAATGCGTTCCGATTCCGTTAATTTATCATCCACAACATCCACTTCTGATTAATGTTAGGCTAAAGGAAACATGTTTCAATCGATAAATTATATTTGCATATGTCACGCCTTCTAGTTTCAAACGTCGCGTTTGGTTTTTACATTATAGTTTTGCATACCGGAGAATGTATTTTGAAAACAGAAACGATATTATTTTCAGGCGTGTGGACATCGTGTGGATATGTACGTAACATGAAATGGTGTTCCTGATTGACAAAACATTGAGAGACACGTCTCGTAAAATTAAATAAAAACCAAAACTCTATTAAAGTCAGTTTCTTACGACTTTTCGTGTAGCGAGATTATTGCTAGTATCAACATCGAACCCTTGTCAATTCCCGGAAATCGAAATCAATGTCATATCTGTTTTTGTGTAATCCACAATGCCCGAAGTAAAAGGCCTGTGACGTGACTGGCTCCAGGGCTATAATGGCTCAGTAACGTTTCCTACCTTGCAGTCTTTTTATCCCAAGGTCAATTAATTGACAACCGGCGTCCAATAATACATGCAGTATTGTTGCTACAGACAACACGCTCACTGCGTTCTTTTATAACTGGACGGTGGCATGACCGTCAGCCCACGGTCAAGGGGGATGGGGCTTACTCAAGCAATCTATAATTACACAAATTGACGTTTTTAATTGAACAACGCTGAATGTTACTTTCGTCCGTCTGAACAGGCACGGGCATGCAATTATAGCATCAGCAAACTATAAATAAAAGTGAGTGCGGTGTAATGAGGGGTCACTGCCATGTTTAGGTTTTCTATTGTTGCTGCTAAAGGCTGCTGAGTGATGGCGAACGTCGTCTCGATGGAGTTCTGATCGCAGCGCGAAATGGAATGATATTTTGTATTCCTCAAGCATGTTCGTTTTGTGATGCATTTAAAAGAAGTCGTAACCACATGTCACAGGGTCACCAAAACGGAGCAGATTAAGTCCTTTTTATTGTTAAACTTTTCCCCCATCCTGATACCGCTGCCACTTTGGCGGTCTTACCGGCACCACAAACATGGTAAACAGCATAAACCGGGCGGTATATTAAACAGTCACTCCGAAGGGTAGCAAGTAGCGCCCTCTTTTGTAGGTAAGCGAACGATATTGGTAAATAACGAAAAGCAGTCTCTTTCACACGGTTCCACTTACCTCTTTCTGTTGTCTACAGCCATTTGAAGGCAGTGTCATTTTCGGGCTTGTTCCTTCCAGAGCCGCTTTCCAGAGGCAATTCTACGCCCCAAGATTTCGGAAATCTCTCAACGTTGTTACTAATTATGATCCTGACTTGTGAACCGTCCTTACCCCCAAACGCGATGGTGAAATCTTAACACTTCAGACTGTGGACCGATGCCAGTTCGAGTTTGCCTCTTCTCATAGTGTGTCTCTAATGGATGAGAAATTCGACCGCAGGTGCGAACAGATAAACGAAACCGGTGCAGTCAAGCGAGTTCAGATAACGTTTGAACGTAGTAGGCCTATAGTAATATGGCGAGCGTCGCGGATGCCGTCGGTAGTTTCAAATTCGGCGGGTTCGATCGTTCTGTGGGTGGGGTGATAAATCTTCGCGAGTCAGTCCGTGGCCCTTCGTGTCCACGTTGGCCGCGTGTGCATTCTCGATCTCTGATCAGCCCATGCGAAAGCTCGTGTATAGTCAATACGAGTCCAGTAACCCAAACGGACAGCAGCGCATGCAGTGGGCACCGCCAATTACCTTGCGTGTGGGGTTCAGTGGTCTAATAAGTGACGCAGTGGGACTAGACGTGTTGAAACATCCAAATACTTCATTAATGGGAGGGGGGCAATTTAATTTGTCTAGTGGGAGTCGACAAGCCCTGCCGCCGGCCGATTTCTTCATTAATTTGCCGAAGCGTTAAGTTGTACAGCGGCAGACGTCATCGAGGCTCCGGCTATCACAGCCTACATCGCCCATGTACCGAAGACACGACGTTCGTTTCCATGATTCATTTGGTCATGAGTTGCTACCGAAAAATATGATATTACCTGAACTGAAACTAACCGCATGGTCATATCGATCGATTAACGGTTTCTATATTTGGAATCATGTCCGTTGTTTTCGTAATTCACTCATAATTTAAACCGTAAAACATTTTAATGTATAGATTAATTATTTTTGTTCCTGTTCAAGTTTTATAAACGACTTTTTCTGAAAGCTTCCAAAATACTGATCACTGCACTTAGGAAATTAGAAGCAAGCGACACAATATTCCCAAATTATAATCAGGCAATGGAAATTAAAAACGTATCATTCTACAGAGCCGTCAGCGCATAATATCATTTCATCTCGACTTCTTGATATGCATTGCCGTAGATAGAACACCAATGATTAATGTTACCGATAAAGACAACTGTTATCATCGCTTTCTGTCGTCAGTCACCGTGGGCTTTTGGGCAAAACCTATGAATTAAAGCAAGTGAGTCAGAAGGGAGAAATCTACTCACTTCAAAATTATCCTGTTTTTCTTACTGCTTCATACGAGCGGTTTAATACCCTCCGAATGATGCATGTTAATTAACGCCATGGTTTTTGTCGTACAAGAGTGAGGCTGGTAATGACGGCATAATGTGACAACGCTTTTTAAGATGGTGATTTTGTCCATAAAACATTAACTTTTAAAGCGTGTAGGTGTTGCTATTTGTTCCATCTTCCTTGGCCACACTCGACCGTCTCGTGCGAAGGTAAAATAGGCTACCTTGGATACGCTTCAAATTCAAAGTGAGGACAGGTTGATGCGTAATGTAATAAGAACCCGTCTTTGCAATTTCATTCCGTCATTGTGTTTTTTGAGTATAACACTTTTTTCATATTATTTCTTGTTTTGCACATTACGACTTGTGAGGATTCATTTAACATGTCCGTGCGGTTCGCTGGGTTCGTTTTGAGTGTCCTTGGCCTTCATAGACTATCAATTTTAGCATAATTGGCACATGAAATTTCCCTGGATATCATAAGGAAGAACACACATTTACTGTAGGACCTTAACAACATTCATGCTTTCCAATGCGGGACTCGAACCCACGCCGCGGCTTTGAGAGGAGATGGAAGAAGCCCTTCGTGAAATCCAACCTGCACGCGCGTTGTTCGCGGGATGCCGTTGCGCCCTTCTCAAAGCCGGAGCTCATACCACTTCAAGCGTGTCGAGTGCTCACTGGGTAAACCGACCCTGTTTGAAACAAGCCTCATTCGATAATTGAATTTTGGCCGCAGCGCCGCCGTGCCACGCAGCCGAGCAGCGGGTTTCCGCCGCTGTAGCGGGGACGCTGCAGATTGGACTTCTGCTCTGCTGTGATATATATTGAAGGACTTGCACCGAAGGAAGAGGAAAAAATCAATATAACGTCTCAAATGTTTGAGGTGAATGGGATAGATTGTTTACTCAAATAACAAGGATTTACGAGACAATAAGAAAGGTAATGCTGTTTTAGTTCTGAGCCACTTGCCTGCTCAAGATAATGTTGGTACTGTTGGAGTATTGCGTATTGAAACAACTGAGACAATTCTCTGACCAGTTGAAGGTATTGTACCTGTTATACCTAATGATCATATAAAGAAAAGTTTTTCATCACAGTCCTTCAAGTTTCTAGGAACAAAAGTTGATAATCGACTCATTATTGAGACCTGCAGCTGCCAAACACCTGTCGAGATTGTCAAATGATTTTAGAGGTAATTCCATTCCCCGTCACATGTGGAAATACTTCCCTGAAATGCAAGACTGTCGTGATAATAAGGTGTGGAAAGAGCTTTGTGGAATATACAGAGTGCATTTTGCCGAAAGACACAATTGTACCAAAGTGTACCATGGCGTATCTCCCTCGCCATTTTTCAAGGAAAACTCAGTGGAAAAAAATCCAATCGTTTAAGCAGTAACTTGAATGACATTTAGTATTTACGAGCTAATTTAGAACGTGTTTGGTTAGTGGACAGTATGTAATGAGTAACTTTCCCCTTGTCTCTGAAAAAAAGCGAATTGTGTCAACGTCACGTCATTCTCACACGACTACAGCAAATCAAAACCGTTGTATGGACAGCCAAAGAGAGTATTGATTCACAGTAACGCAGCCTTACATTCGTTACCCGACAACTTTGAAACACAGCACACATCAGTTATGAGTACGAAGTGGCATAGCATCGTGCTCAGTGTATTAAGACACCCGATTGGTCACAAATGGCATTTCAAGATCCGTATTAGAACTGATTTCGGCACTAGTGTGAGCGCGACGACAGTCAAATCGCTCCATCCTAGCCTGTTCATGACCCTTTACTTTAATTGCCATCATTTTTCGAACATACAACTCCTCAAGCAGGACATCAAGGGAAAGGACAAGTTGTTTGCCCAAAAAGAGCAATTATTTGTTTTCCATTTTACACTTAAACAGTTATGTTCCTCTGCAAATACACCGTCTGCCCACGAGCCCCTTCCCCTTGCCTTCACGGAATAACCAAATAAGCGATTGGGCTCGACCGCACGAGGATCATTTCAATGTCGAGAGGTGTTTAAAAAGCGGTTGTGTAAATGCCAGAGGTAGCGAAATGTTGGTCTGATTTCCTTTGATTTCCTCACTGCAAACACATTTCCGGTTTAACTGCTAAACCCGAATGATTTGACGAGAGTAATAATAACACAAGCCTTTTACCACTCTTTGAACTTGCACTGAGGTGTCGATGCTGTGTGTCCTCGTAAAATGTTTATTTCCCGGAACAGGGTAATTCTTGACTGTGTTAAAAGATGTTCATTTTTCAATTTGATGCGTTGGGGAGAAACATTTTGTTAACACCTTGACAAAGCGACCTTCTCGGCTTTATGACCCGGCCGCAAAGTGGGAGACCACACAGGTACTTGCCTTAATTTAGCATCTAAAAAGTAGTTAGCCCTTTGGGACAAAACACGATGTCTGGGAATGAGTATTAAACTACCCTCCAGGATATCGACGGTACTTCTTCCTACGCACTCACAGCGACAAAAAAAAATAGACGAAGTCGGGAAACTTTGTAGAGAATTGGAGACTAAACAAGAACAGCACGCCTACATTTCACCAAATTATGTCAGATTTCAGCAAGATATTGGTCCGCATTCTGAAAATGGTTCTACAAGTAAAACAAAACAAAAACAAACAAAGCGAAAGCCGTGTTCACCTATGGCTGTTTTGTTCATTTTACACTAAAATTTTACGTGACTTGTATTGGACAGGGCCTGGCAATAGAGGGCGGTAGAACTAAATAACTGTCGCTGTCTTGTAGCTGCGCGATAAAATTGGTAGTTTTGTATGTGTCTGGGTGCTGTTAAAAGCTTTTTCGTGAAGTATTTTTTTAAATTTTTTTCCATTGGAGAGAAGAATTGAAAGCCACCTTCAAGTGAAAGAAACAAAACTGAATAAAACATCAACTGCAATGACTCATGTACCATCGGATTGACAGTAACAGCCCCTTCCCTTTAAAAAAAATTGAAATATTTAAAAGGCGCCTCTTTTATTGAACGTCGTTGCCAAAAATAGCGACAGGGCCCTGTCTCAACTTCTAAAGTCACACCTGTGGCAAGTAATATTGTCCTTCGTTCACACGTCGAGCCACCTGCGATAGAACTTCAACACCTGTGATTAAATATTTTTCAGCCTTGCGCGAGAGCAAGACAGTGCCTGTAGATAACGTCATCTGATATTTCGAGTTGACCTGGTGTGTGCAACTAATCTTTTGTCCATTTTTGTAACCTTTAAGACGAGATCGTCCTTGAAGGGGGGGAAGGAGAAAAGAGAGGAAATAGAACATAGAAATGCCACGGCTGCAGGTAGGGTGTTGACTGAATGCAGAGCGTTGGTGTTTAGAGCTACGAAAGGAGAAAACAAGCCTCCTTCAGGATAAAGCATCCTTCAGGAAATCGGCCATTTAAATGTCACCAACTTTCTTGTCCTGTTGATGGTATCCAGTGTGTCACAGTGTAACCGTAGCACTAAGCGTTTGAATTTGTAAGCGTGTATCATTTGTTTCGGTTTTTATCTCCTTGTTACCTGTGTAATAAATGGAATGGTCCAAAAAGTTTTTATCCAATCATGAGTCAAATTGTTTTCCGCGTAAATGTCTCAGCCACTCATGATTTTGGAGTACTCGAGCGGAAAAACGCCATCCCATCTTACACAAGAACGCTTTGTGAACAGGCCACGGTCGTTAAAGAACAAGTGGGTCCTAATTGCCGCATAATATGTCCACCCGGTTAGCTTTAGTGTAAATGTTTGTGCATGTGGTTTTCATTGGGGTGTATTATAAGAATGAGAATGTTGCTTGCTGAGAGAGAAAGAGAGTGAGAAGACATTTTGGACTTGGCAGAGTGAAGATCGAGAGAAATCCTCTGAGCATGTTTGAGACCGGCTTTAACTGTAAAGACAGAAATCTTGATTCAGAAGGTTAGGTCTTCGGTCAGTTCTAGTCACTGGGTAGGCTGCTTTGTCTGGGACAAAGCAGCCTACCATAATTTCTGCAAACCAGGCCGAATTACCAGACCCAGACCATAAAATTGTCGCCCTGGTCATCTTGGCACTCGCCAGCAACAGTCAATCTCACAAGTATCGGCTAAGCCTGATTACCGTGGCCTTCCATAATTATGAAGTCGGATCTATGGACCGACTGGAGATACAGAACCTGAGATCGAGCAGTTTGGCAAGACCAAAGAACTGGGTTTACTCCTACCACATTTGAGTTACTCGGCCCCTGAGGTGCTCACAGCTTGACAAACCTTGGGGAC